TTTTAGTTTACAAAGCTACCAAATTGCACCACACACTGTACCTTTACTAGAGAGCTCGTTTCATGAGGACAGGGGCTTTTGCCTGTGTACCAAGGATTCCCTAGCACCTAGGACAGTGCCTGGCACATATAGGCACACATTAATTACTTGTTGAATGAATACGTGCTTTTAGATCACAAATTTTTAAAAACCATCCTCCTGCCATCATGGAACTCTGGCACTTTGGACAAGCTGCTTTACATCTTTAGGCTTGGGGACCATAGGAGTACCTTTGGGCTCTAAAATGCTATGACATCTGTGCGTATCACCTTCTAGTTTCGCTTTCCAGATGCCTCAGGCCTGCTCTAATCGCCCTTTGGAGAAGATATGGGTAAAAAGCAAAATAAAAAAAAAAAAACCAAAAATGGTGAAAGGGAAAAGTCTTGGATGCCCCAAAAGGAAAATCACAGGTCTTTGAGTTTAGACAAGTTCAAAGTTGCTACAGGAGGCAGCCACAGTCCATGAACTTTATTGTCAACCTCTAGGCAAACAAGTGAGCCAGTTATGAATTCTACTTGGTTGGTTCAGCTCATGATAATGGTAGGAACAGAGTTCTGGCCGTTTCATTTATATTGGAACCAGCAAAATACACACAACCTCAAAGGTGTGTGTGTGGACAGGGTGCAGTCCAGCCCCCTTTAAACAGCACAGAATGACTCAAGGTGGCATGAAAGAGCCTTTTGCTCAATCACTAAGTTACAAGCATTTGAAAAGAAGAGGGACCAGTATTTACGGTACTTTCTATTTTCAAATGAAACGAGTGACTGAATGTTTTCCTACATAAGCCTTAACCAGTTGCATGGCGTACAGTGCAGGATATAAATGTCAGCTCTGTGACAGGAGCATGTTGACACTGGTTGAGTGTTCAAAGTCTGCACATTGTCATTATTCCGCCTTCCCTGCACTGACAGCTTGCTACCGAATTGAACATACCTGGAAAGGAGTCAGTTTGGCTTAGAACGCAGCTCACTTTCTCTTTGGGAACGTTTCTCTTTCAAGGATCTATTGGGTCTTCCGATAGGTAAAACAGAATCAGTTGTGTTCTCCTGGTTCTAATGTAAACACAGTGGTCAGAATCTTGTCCGTTGATGACTTAGCGTCACTTTTGGAAAAGGGAAGTGATCTCCCTTTCCCCAGAACCCCCAGCTACCGCCTTCCATCAGTAGGATTACGGCTACCTTGCTTGCTTTGTGACTGCCTGGACCTTACATGAGGCACGGATTTTCTTAGGGTATTATCAAGCCATAGGGATTCAACCCTGACTACACATTAGACTCACTTGGGGAACATCTAAATATCTAGATGCCCAGGCCACGCCCCAAACCAATGAGATCAGAATCTCTCCTGGTGAAGCCAGCATCAGCAGTCATTAAAGTTCCCCAGGTGAGTCCAGTGAGCAGGGTCTTTTCTTATGAGTCTTTTCCCAAAGGAAGGTTAGGGTGGAGTGTGCAGGT